TTCTGGCTGTGTTTTCTGTTGCTAATATTTTATTGTCTCTAAACTTGGTTGTGTGAGAAAGCACCACGTCTCCACCTATGCTTCCATCTTGAAGAAAGTCCTCAATTTTCTGATAGAGAATTTAAAGTCCTGGTAATCAAAATGTTACACATCTGATTGAGCTTGGTTGAAAAATGAAAAAAAAAACCCAACAAATGAAAGATTCCCAAAATGAAAGAATGCAAAATATTCAAGGAACCAACAGTGACAGGAAGCAAACCAGGACTCAAAGCAATGATTTAGAACAAAAGGACAAAATAAACCTCTATCTATAACAAAATGAAGAAACAAGAACTAAAAAAAGTGAAGACAGTGTTACAAACCTCTGGGACAACCTGAAACATTCCAATATCCGAATCCTAGGGGTGCCAAGAGGAGAACAACAGAAAGAAATTGGAAACTTATTTGAACAAATGATGAAGGTAAACTTCCCCAATCTGGTGAAGGAAATAGACTTCCAGGAAGTCCAGGAAGTTCAGAGAGTCCTAAAGAAGTTGGACCCAAAGAGGAACACACCAAGGCACATCATCATCAAGTTACCCAAGATTAAAGATAAAGAGAGAATCCTAAAAGCAGCAAGAGGAAAGGAGAGAGTTGCCTACAAAGGAGTGCCCATCAGGCTATCAGCTGATTTCTCAAAAGAAGCCTTACAGGCAAGAAGGGGCTGGAAAGAAGTATTTGAAATCATGAAAGGCAAGGGCCTACATTTAAGATTACTCTATACAGCAAAGTTTTCATTTAGAATGGAAGGGCAGATAAAGTGCTTCCCAGACAAGGCCAAGTTAAAGGAGTCCATTACTACTAAGCCATTATTAAATGAAACATTAAAGAGACTTCTCTAAGAAAAAGATAAACTATATGAACAGTAAAATGACAACAAACTCACAACTATCAAAAATGAACCTAAAAGAAAAGAAAAACAATGAAAACAAAAACTAAGGGAACAACCAGAACAGAAACAGAACCAGAGAAATGGACATCACATGGAGAGATTTTAGTGGGGAAGGGAGGCATAAAGGGGAAATAATACAGGGAAGAAGAAGCATAATTAGTAGGCATTAAATAGATGGGGAGAGATGAAAAATGGTATAGGAAACAGAGGACTCAAAGAACTTATATGTACAACCAGTGGACATGAACTAAGGTGGTGTGGGAAAATGCTGGAGGGTTGGAGGGAGCAGGGCAAAGGGAAGATAAAGAGGGAAAATTGGGAAAACTGTAATATCCTAATAAAGAAAAAATATTGAAAAAACATTGTGTGAGACTTCAAAAATCCATTTAATTAATGGAAGGACAGATAAAGTGCTTCTCAGAGAAGATCAAATTCAAGGAGTTTACCATCAGCAAGCCCTTATTATATGAAATGTTAAAGGGACTTATCTAAGAAAAAGAAGATAAAAAGATGAATAGTGAAAGGACAGCAAACTCACAGTTATTAACAACCACACCTAAAACAAAAACAAAACTAAAAGGACAGCTAGATCAGGAGCAGAAACACAGAAATGAAGATCTCATGGAGGGTTAGCAACAGGGCAGTGGGAGGAGGGGAAGGGGGGAGAAGGTACAGAAAATAAGTAGCATAGAAGGTAGGTAGAAAATAGATAGGGAGCAAGATTAGTATGGGAAATATAGAATCTAAAGAACTTGAGACACATAGTCATAAACTAAAGGGGGGAATGGTGGGAGAGGAGGTGTACAGGGTGGAGGGGAATGAAGGGGGGAATAGAACAACTGTAATGGCATAATCAATTTAAAAATGCATATAAAAAAGATGCATTCCAAACTATGTTTCTATAGATATGTGTATTGTCACATTGCTACCAAGTGGCTTTTTGCTATTAAAAAGGGATATTTAGCCAAAGGTCATCTCAGTAGGTGTAGAAACATCATTTGACAAAAAATTTAACATGAATTTAAGCAATTTGTGATTCAAATTCTCACCAAACTGTGGTCAGAAAGAAAATTCCTCAAGCTGATGGAAGAGCAACTTTTAAAAAATTGTAACAAACATTATATTCAATAGTGAAAGAGTAAATGTTTTCTCCCTAAGGTCAGATACAAAGTAAAAATGTTTGCCCTCACCACTCTTACTCAACATTGTACTGGAAGCTCTAATCAGCACAAAAGGGGAATAAAAAGTATACAGGTTTGAAAGCAAGGATTATACCCTAAGAATCTTGAAATACCAATTCAAAAGAACCTATGCATCCTTCTGTTCATAGCAGCATTATTTAGAATAACAAAGTGCTGCAAACAGCCTAAGTGCCCATTAGTAAATAAGTGGATCGGAAACTGGTACATTCACACAATGGAATACTAATTCAGGAAAAAGAAAAAAGGAGCTCCTACATTTTGTGACAGCATGGGTAAAACTGGAGAGTATTATGCTAAGCTAAATAAGCCAGACAGAGAAAGACAAACACCATATGATCTCACCTGTAACAGAAACTGAATGAACAAAACAAACAAATGAGCAAAATAGAACTAGATGCATGGAAATGAGGAACAGATTAACAGTGACCCAAGGGGAGGGGGAGAAAGTAGAAAAGAAGGGGAAGGGTCTAGTCAAAGAACATGAATAAATGACCCATGGAAATGGACAACAGGGTGGGGATGGATTGTGTTAAGAGGAGTGGAGGACAGGGCAGTGGAAAGCAATGGAGGAAAAATTGGGACAACTGTAATAGAATAACAACAAAAAAAGAATTTTAACCATCTCTGTTTACAAACAACATATTTTTCTATGTATAAAATCCTCCAAGATGTAAAAGTGGATTCTAGAATTGACAAATGAGTTTAGTAATATCATAGAATACAATGTCAATATATTAAGTTTTTCTGTATATAAATATAAAAATTAACATTAATATTTGCATTTATGTCAACTAGCAATGAAGATGTATAAAATGAAAAAAACACTGTAAATACCATTTACAATAGTACTAAACAATTAAATGCTTAGGTGTAAATCTTACACAATATATGAAAAGATTTATACTTTGACAATCACAAAACACTGATTAAAGAAATCATAGATGAGCTGAAGAAGTGGATAGATATAACACATTTATGGATTGAAATAATCAATACTATTGTTAAGATATTGGCATTCTGAAACTAGAGATTCAACACAATTCCAATAGAAATTTCAACAGGGGGTACAAATTGACTATCTGATTATAAAATTTATGTGTGAAGGCAGAAAACTAAAAAAGCAAAATTGATTTTGGAAGCAAAGGAAAAAGTAGGAAGGCTCACATTGTCTGGTATCCAGACTTACTATTAAGTTAAAATCATCAGGAAACTGTAGTGTTAGAGAAAAATAGGAATATAGATAGGTGTAGAGAATATGGAATAGCATATAGAGTCCAGAAACAGACCCACTCAAGTATTGTCCATTGATTACTGATAAAGATGTAAAGAAAATTCAGTGGAAAATAGTCTCTCAACCGTCAATACTTGAAAAGTTGTATTTCCATATGTGAAAAAGAATCTCAATCCAAGTGGACACACTATAGAATTCACTTAACATGAATCAGATACCTATATATTTTTATGTGTACTGAGAAATATCCCATGACATCCTATTTCATGGAGTGAAATATATTGTAGAATTATAAAATTTTAATAACCAATGTCAGTAAAATAAAAGTAATTTAAATCTAAGTTTGGCTATATCAACAAAGTAAATGAGAAAAAAAGTATGATAAAGAATGGTGTGAGACTTTAAAACCCACTTAATTAAAGATATTTTCCAAACTATGTTTCTGTAGACATGGGTGTTGTCACATTGCTACCAAGTGGCCATTTGCTATTAAAAAGGAAAATCTAGCCAAAAAAGAGAGATCATTTGAATAGGTGCAGAAAAAGCCTCTGACAAAAAAATTAACATGAATTTAAACAACTTGTGATTAAAATTCTCACCAAACTTGGAACAGAAAAATTTCCTCAAGCACCATGTCTGAAATTCTGAGATATTCTTTGGATGTCACTTAGTGTTTTGACACTTAATAGTGAATGTTAGTGACAACTATTAATGACCCAGGAAAGGCTGGATCAGTGAGGATGCAGATTCCCTAGAAATGAAGGTCTGCATAATTTCACTATGTAAAGAACCCCATTCAGATGAGACGATGGCCAAGGAGAACATGGAATGTGTGATGAAAGAAGAAGTTATAAATGTCAACCATGGTCTTGTGATCAACTGCAACATAAGGTAGAACTGGAGACTAGAATCAGTCTGGCACATATGTATGGTAGTAGAGATGATAATGGCAGCAGGCATATTAAGGCTTTCTTAGAGAGGTAAGGGAATAGATGTACCTCAGTGGGATTCAAACTGAATTTCCTTATCAATCTAGGCTTGACAGAGGTTGAACATGAACTGGGAGAGTTTATCTTTTCCCCTGTTCTTGTCTCTTCCATATACATGCATGTGGTTGGCTCATAGAGATCTAATACTTGTTTGCTGCAAATGGGTGTCTTTTTGGTGAATTGGGTTGTAGTGAGATTCTACCACCCTGAGAATCTTTCCAAATTATGTATCTTTTGTGGCACTCTGCTTAAAGAACACCGATTGCTTCTACTTGCTCACCAGGTAAGGCCTCCTACACTTGTAGGATAATTTAGGATATTCCCACTCAGGTTGCTGTAGTTTTCATGTCTTCTCCAACCACCCTCCTCTATCACCTCTGAAAATTAGGCTTCTGACCACAGGACTTCTGTCCATTCCCTAAACAAGCAGTGTTTGGGCATCCATATACCGGCTTCTCCATATTCCACCCCTTCCCCATCCCAGACACAGTCCAGTGTGGTCAGTGACTACAATCAGTCACTTTTTAAAAAGATTCTGAGAGCATGTGTCCTGAGAGATCCTTGGTAATTACTTTGCTTTTAATGAATTCCTCCAGGATCTAGCCTCCTCTGGGATCCAAGGCTCCTGAGACCAAAGAGTGTGTAGAATGGGAGACATGAGAAGGGATGTTGCAGCACAGGTGACAACTACAGAGGTTGTTACTTCACATGCCTTAGCGAATAAATGGGAACAGGATCTCAGGCCAGGGTCCTGGAGTCACCATCAGGCAGACTTGGTAAGTTGGGCAGAGGATGAATGAGCTGGTCTGTTAGGGTCCCTCCTACTGGAGGATCTTAATTCTCAGGCTGTGAGATGTTTGGCCTGGGAGTTTTCAGGTATGATATTTCTTTGCTTCTCCACTTCTCAGACTCCCAAGACTCCCCCAAGTTCTAAAATATTTTGATTAATACTGTGGCAGAGTAGCCATGGATTAGAGCATTGTTTATATGTGCCAATGTTGAGGGTTCAATCTCTGGTCAGGGCACATAGAGAATCAACCAATGAATGCATCAATAAGTGGAAAAACAAATCAGTGTTTCTCTGTTTCTCTCTTTCTCTTTCTCTCTCCCTCCCTTCCTTTATCTCTAAAAATTCAGTAAAGTAAATAAATATAAAATATTTTGATTTGTGTGCATCAGTTACAATCCTTTGATTAATAATAGCATTCATACATATCACTTCCTATGGAATGTATTTAAACAATATAATATAATTTTAATATAATGACAGTTTTGAGGTAGGCTTTAATGCAACAGTTCCAGCCCTTGCTTTATTTTAGAACTGCCCTGGGCTTTAAAAACCTTCGCATAGGTCCCATATCAGCTATTGTGATTAAATTTATCTGAGGGAGACAAGTGATCTTTATCTTTAACAGTGTCATATATAATTGCAGCTCACTGTGTCATCCCTAGACAACAAGGATGGGCATCAACACAGTGCTACTTTAAAAAGTAGCCACTTCTTATGTAATCAGAAGCAGTGTATTACTAGAACTCCCAGGCAATTTGCATGGACATTAATTTCAGAAGCACTGCCTAGGTGATTAATCATGTGCGATCAGGCAGAGAACTACTGACTTACTGGGTGAAGAAGATGAGAGGCTCATTGCATCATCAGTGGTAGCACCTTCAAGTTCTGCCTCCTGTGTGTCATCATCTCCAGTCATACTATTGCCACAGGAGTTGGGTCCCTTTAATCTACCTGGGAAGTAAAATTCAGAGAAACCAGGTATATGTTTTTCCCTGGATGTTTTTCTCCACTGTCTCACCAGTATATAGAGTCCAAGTGTAAGAACTGTTACTATGGCTGGATCGAACAGCATCAAGGGTGAAAGTTTCAGTAAATGGACTCAGTTGTGCCTTTATTGAAGGAGCCTCTCACATCTCTTAGTGCTTCTCCTCCGCTTTCTCTGCTTTGAGGAACACTAAGGTGTCTTAGAGCGCTCCAGAGAAATAGAACCAGTGGGAGATTATCTATCTATCTATCTATCTATCATCTATCTATCTTCATATTCTATACCAGTGACAGGAGTAGTGAATCTGAGGTGCCCTAGCATTTTCCATGGGCACAATTAAAATACATTCTATAATCTAGTGTCATATTTAGTGCTAAATGGTTGAGGCTAGAGAGTTTTTGCTCTGTGAAAATGTAGCAGGATTAATGACTTTTGCTTGAAAGGACTTCTGCTTCCTTTAAAGTTGGAGAAATGCATGTCTCAGCCTGAAGCACAGCCGGTAAATAATTGTGAAATATGGATCACATGGAGGCATTGCACCAGGTGCTGTTGAGGACACATGGTCTTTCCTGCATGGACCTTACAACCTGGCAGGGAAGACAGCTATGAACAAATAATCCCAATGGGGACAAGCACAGTGTGCCATGAAACACAGCAGTGGCGCTCACCTGTGGGGAGACAGAGAAGGTCTAGCTTAGTATGTGACATACAATGTACCTGCAGGATAAGTAAGGGAAAGCCTGGTGAAGAGGGTGCAGAGGTAGGAATATGTTAGGCAGGCAGAAAAGCAAGTGCAGAAAGGTGGAGGCAAAAAATTGTCACATTGAAGTCCAGCAGTACTAGAGAGAGGTATGGGAGTGCATTGTGGGGAGTGCATTATGAAGCTGTGGTGGTAGAAAGGGTCAGGACATGAGCACTTCTTAGTTGAAATATATAGAAAAATGATCATGAAAATTGTTAAGTGAAAAAACAGTTGATAACACTGTGATTGTATCTTCTATTTTCATAAATATTCATTTGTAGAAATTTTGTATTTTGATCCTTAATATCAATATCTGAAGTCCTTGAGAATGAGTCTGTTGTTTATTGTTTCTACTGATTCGCAAAAATGAATATAGTTGGTTTAAACTATTATATTAGTTTTGTGTGTATAATACGGTGACTTGACATTCATATGCCTTACAATGTGATCACCACACAGTCCATCTGTCACTGTAGGCATAGTTTTCACAACTATGTAGTGAACATCACTGTGGCATCTGTCACTGTGCATAGTTTTCACAACATTATTGGTTATATGTCCCTTCACTGTAAGGGTGAAAAAGATGAAGTGTGTTTTTGAAAGGAATTTTCCTGTATCTTAAGAACAATGGTGATACATGAAGACTTGAGGAGAATGATGATCAGGTTTCCATCTTAGAATGCCACAGTGAGACTGAGAGATACTTAAGAAGTAAGGTTCCAGCATGAAGCAGGAATATGAATGAAGAGCTGTTTCAGTAGTATAGATGAGATATGAGGTCATTTGGTTTAGGATAGTGAGAGATGAGGAAAGGAATAGATGAATGAGAATTAAGTGGTAAAATCTATTGGACTTGTTTATAGCTGGATGTTGATGATGAGAGACAGGTGGGAATAAGAGAAAACCCTCAGCTTTATGGCTGGAGAGCCTGGAACTCTTTCAATGAGACCTGGAGAATTAGAGAGGAGGGGATGAGAATTAGAGGAGGAGGGGATGAGGAATGGGGCAGGGTGAGACGGTAATTTTCTTTTGGGATCTGTTAAACTTAAAATGCCTAAGATAGCCCTGGTTGATGTGGTTGAGTTGGTTGGAGCACTGTCCCATACACCAAAAGGTTATGGGTTCCACTTCTGGTCAGGGCACACAACTAGGCTGCAGGGTTCAATTCCTGGTTGGAAAACATATGGGAATCTATCTCTCTGTCTGTCTGTCTATCTGTCTATCTCTAGCTATCCCTATCCTTATTTCTATCCATATCACTATCCCTATCCCTATCCCTATTTCTCTCTCTCCCCCTACCCTTCCTCCATTATCTCTCTAAAATCAATACACATATTTAAAAAATTTTAAATGCCTATGAAACATCCAAGGAAAGATCATCATTAAGCAATGGAATATCCCTTTTTATGAGTGAGAGAGACATCTACATCAGAGGTTTAAAGGGTAATGTAAGTCTTTGAAGTAGATAAGTTTTTCTGGGTAGTATGTATAGAATTATCAGAGAACAGTGTTTAGGAAAAAGCCCAGGGGAACATCATCATGGAAGATATTGGTTGAGCAGCATAGAGTTGTAGTTACTGAGAGGGTCTTGCCAGGCACGTTTGAGGAATACCAATTCACATTATGTGTCTCAGAAGCTAATGGAGAAGATTGTTTTAAATAAGTTGGAACATTTCATGTATGAAAGAGAAATAAAAAACTAAGTCATTTTTACTATAAAAGTTCTGATTATAGAGATTATTATAAGTTCTTATTATAATTATTGTGAAAAGGTGATAAAAGTGTTGTTGTAGAGTGCCTAAAATACCATCATAGAAATGTACTCATTTTTTAATTCAAATTTCAATGGACACTATCATTTCTTTCTAAAGATACTGGAGATGGCTATGGCAGGAAGGAATCAAACCATCATCACAGAGTTCCTTCTTCTGGGACTGCCCATTGAGCCAGAGCAGCAAAACCTCTTCTATGCCCTGTTCCTGGCCATGTATCTTACCACTGTCCTGGGGAACCTCCTCATCATCATGCTTATTCACCTGGACTCTCACCTCCACACACCCATGTATTTCTTTCTCAGTAATTTGTCTTTCTCTGACCTCTGCTTTTCCTCTGTCACAATGCCCAAGTTGCTGCAGAACATGCAGAGTCAAGTCCCATCCATCCCCTATGCAGGCTGCTTGGCCCAAATGTACTTCTATCTGTTTTTTGCAGACCTGGAGAGCTTCCTGCTTGTGGCCATGGCCTATGACCGCTATGTGGCCATCTGCTCCCCACTGCACTACACCACCATCATGAGCCCCAAGCTCTGTTTCTCAATGGTAGTTCTGTCCTGGGTGCTTACCACCTTCCATGCCCTGTTACACACTCTTCTCATGGCTAGACTGTGTTTTTGTGCTGACAACAAGATCTTGCACTTTTTCTGTGACATCTCTGCTCTGCTGAAGCTGTCCTGCTCTGACACTGGAGTTAATGAGTTGATGATCTTTATTGTTGGAGGGCTCATTGTTGTCATCCCATTCCTACTCATCATCATGTCCTATGCACGAATTGTGTCCTCCATCCTCAAGGTCCCTTCTGCTAGAGGCATCTTCAAGGCCTTCTCCACCTGTGGCTCCCACCTGTCTGTGGTGTCACTGTTCTATGGGACAATTATTGGTCTCTATTTCTGCCCATCAGCTGACAACTCTGTTGTTAAGGAGACAGCCATGGCTACAATGTACACTGTGGTGACCCCCATGCTGAACCCCTTCATCTACAGTCTGAGAAACAGGGACATGAAGGGAGCTCTGGGAAGAGTCTTTTATAAAAAGATATTTTCTTGTTATATATGATTATATATAATTTTATTCAGTAGATATACACATATCAAATTATTATTCTAAATATTTTTCCTTACCATGTTAATGTCAGTTAAAATGATATTTCAAATCGTTGTTCAGTATGTTAAACAGATGACTTGAAATTTTACAGGTGAACTAGATAAGAAGGTCTTTGTGACACCTGACTAGGCTTTCCCCTTTATATTCCCCAGGGGACCTTGGGAAAGCATGGTTTAAGCATCACTTGCCATCAAAGAGATGCAAATTAAAAACACTGTGAGATACCACTTCACATTAGGCAGAATGACCATAATAAACAAATCAACAAACAATAAATTTTGGCAAGCTTGCAGAGAAAACAGTACCCTGGTACACTACTGGTGGGAAAGCAGACTGGTGCACACACTGTGGGAAACAGTATGGAATTTCTTCAGAAAACTAAAAATGAAACTGCCTTTTGATCCATCAATTTCATTACTGGAATTATACCCTAAGAGCCCTGAAACACCAATTCAAAAGAAACTATGCACCCCAATGTCCACAGCAGCACAATTTATAATTGCCAAGTGCTGGGAACAACCTAAGTGCCTATCAGTTAATGAGTGGATCAGGAAACTATGGTACAATTACACAATGGAATACTATGCAGCAGAAAGAAAGAAGGAACTCCTACCATTTGTAAGAGCATGGATGAAACTGGAGAGTATTATGCTAAGTGAAATAAGCCAGGCGGTGAAAGACAAATACCATATGATCTCACCCATAAGTGGAAGCTAATCAACAAGACAAACAAGCAAGCAAAACATAACCAGAAACATTGAAATAAAGGACTAACTGACAGTAACAGAGGGGGGGTGGGAGGGGTAATGGTGGGAAGAAGGGAAAGGCTCGTTAAGGAACATGTATAAAGTACTCATGGATAAAGCCAAAGTGGGGGTAGTTTGGAGGATGGGAGGTGTGGGTTGGTGCAGTGGGTGAGTGTGGTGGGGGGGAAATGGAGGTGGTTGTATTTGAATAACAATATAAAAATTAAAAATCTGGTAATTTTCATAAAAAAGAAGTACTATTTTAAGTGCTTTTCATGCCTTACATTTTTAACTAATTTATTACAGGATATTACTTTTAAAACCGGGACTCTGCTTTGGTTGTGGTATCATTTTAAAATTATTTCCTTTACTCTTAGGTCAATACTAAATAAGATCCAAATATCTCAATCTCCCAGCTTCCTTCTAAATGCATTCCACATAACTCTTCACAACTTCACATGGTTTATCTCTTATCCATTTTCTTTCTCTGGTTTACTTTCATGTGTAGTTTGTGTTCTGACTTGAAACTGATTTTTCTAATCCTTTTTACCACAAGAGTGGATTCTGTCTTTTCCTGGGAATAATAAACTTTGTGGACATTACAATTTATTTCTCCAGTAATGGAAAAAGAAGGTAGAAGCTGATATGCAAATCAAGAAGGGAAGGGTGCTTGTTTTCTGTTTGATAGTTCAGACTTCGTAAAAGAACTTTGTAGCTAGATTTTTATTCTGCCCTTATGAGAATTCTAAGGAAGTATAGAAGGTATTATCACCATTTCAGTTACTCACTAAGCCACACAGTGTATCAATTGTTGAGTCTATGTAAGATCCCAGACTATGTGATTCTATGGATTCTTCTCATTTTCTTCAATTTTAATGAGAAGGGAAGCAGCCATTTAAAAAAAAAAAAAAAGACCTCTTAGCTCCATTTGTGCTATGTGCTAGGTTCCCAACCTTGGCCCATTTGCATCCTTAGTTGTCTCCTCTGAGTGATGGCATCCAAACTCACCACTTTAATCTTGTATATTCTGGTAACTGCCACATCTGTATGTGAGGCCCAGACCTTTCTCCAGAGCTCCCTGTTGCTATTCTCATCTGGCTAGTGGATATCTCCGTGTGAGGGTCTATGAGCAGTTCAACCTCAACATGCACAATGTGAAACTATGTTCCTCTGAGTCTGCTCTTTGTCCTTTATTCTGTGCTTTGATTTATGATGTCACTTTCCACCCAGTTAGCCAAGCAGCCACTTCTGTACATGTATATACATTCACAAAAGTAGATTATAGTTTATAATCTTGCATTACATATTTTTATTTAATATTGTACTTCCTGAAATATTTTATTATTCTCCATGAGACAGTGACAGTGGTTGCTATAATAGATCAAATTCTGTTACAGACATATCAGTGGAATAATAAAAAATTAATATTCAAATTAAATCACGTTCCTCTATACTAGAGAAATCTAATTTAAAAGGCCATGAAAAATAGGTCTGATTCTCAATAGCAATGAAAATTAGGAGTATAAGACAGAAAACTCTACTCGAACAATAATTAGATTAAAAAAAGAACCGTAAGAAGAAAAACAATTAAATTAAAAAAACATTAAAACTTTACTGAAATACATCAAATAATACCACAATAAAGGGACATAATACAATGACCCTGGAAAAGGTGCCTTATTGTAAACAATTTTTTGAAGAGTAATTTTTATACAATAAAATCAATTTATTTAAAGTTGTACATTTTTATATGAGCTATGTAAAACATCATCAGTTCTCCTTAAATACATTCGATGTCATTTAAAGAAAATTCTCAGTGGAATTAGTTTAATGGAAACTGACAAGGTTATTTTGATGTAAGTTTCACATATTTTACCACATAAGAATAAGGAACTTTTTTATGTGGACAGATGATAACACAAGCAAATTTGAAAGAGAAGTGACAGACTATAAATTGACAAATTTATAAATGATTGATCTCCTGAGGTAATAGCAAGGATGTGGGAATAAGAGCACTCAAGTACATTCCAATTTTCTTGAAGTATAATTACACATGAGAAAATGCGTCCATGTTAAGTGTATAGTTCAATGAGTTTTGACAATGATAAATATCCATGTAACCTCTACCCAGTCTATGTCTCAAATAATTTCATCACCTCACAGTTCACAGTGTCCCCTTGCAATTAATCTTCCATTCCCTACCACTGACCTGTGGTACTATTTTATGTATTTGGATTACTATTAGAGATTAGATATGCCTGATTTTCCATTTCACATAAATGGAATCATTAGTATGTATGCATTTGTATCTGGTGTCTTTAGCATTGCAGAATGTTTTGTAGCTTTAGATACAAAATTCTTTTTATTACTGAGTAGTATTTCATTGTGTAAATATAGCACAGTTCATTCGTTTATTCATTTATATTTTGTTAGACATTGCTGTATCCAGTTTTTGAAGATTATGAATTGTTGAAAAATGACATCTTTCCCCCTCACTGAACTGCTTGGGCACCTTTGTATAAAGTCAGCTGACCATGTATAGATGCATCTATTTCTGCACTCTACTCTGTTCCATTGGCCTATATATTTCCTATTCACCTATCCTTATTCAAATGTTTACATCATTCTATCTTTATTACATCATTTTTCCCGATGTATTCTCATATCTACATGTAGTGTCCTTTCTAGCCTGACCTGATCTGAAGGGGACCATTTTATTTCCTTTATTACAGCAATGAATTTTGATTTTGTAAATTGTTTTTGCCTTAAGTCAAACTTTACTATTAAAAGACAAAACATGCTGTTGGCATTTATTATCATAATATTTTTCTTTGTTATTGTTTATGTTAAACAGAATTCTCCCCATCATTATTTCACTGTTATGAGTTTTTAATTTTTGAATTCTTTATTTTGATTGATTCATTTTTGGATTACATCTTTAAGTCATCTTTAAAATAAGAATAGTACATGAATACTATCTTTATTGAATTTTCACATTTTATATTTTCCTTTTGTATGTGTGCTTATACCTGAAAGGACAAGTTGGCTAGGTACAGAATTTTGTGGACATCTGCATTCCCACTTAAAATCCATTCTTAAAAATAGCTGTGAAAAAATCTGAGGTAAGGCTGACTACTCCCACTTTCCTCTACCCTTAAGTGGCCATCTTCTTTCTCCCCTGAAACTTACAGGATTATTTCTCTAAACATAAAATTGAATAACTTCATCCGATTTTGTTTTTGTATCAACTGGCTTTTGTTACAGTTTTTTAATAACAGAAGATCCCTTTTGATTTACAAGTCTGTACCTTTCTTCATTTCAAGATTTTCTGCTATTATATCTTGGATATTATTATTGTTGCACTTTTTTTCCTGTTCTCCAGTAAGGCCAATAATTTTTATAGCAAGTTTGAAATTTATGTACTACAATCTATCTACACATAAATGATAACTTTATTTTTTACAAATTAAAAAGAAAAACAAAATTTATAATATTAGGCTTCTAGAAACATTATCAGTGTAGAAATAACATGTATACTTGAATTCATAGATTGAAAAAATGAAATCCTATGTCATTAAACTTGTGACATTCAAAAACGTAAGTTACAGGTTTATTTTTTAAATTATTTGATTGTTCAATTACAGTCATCTGTATTATCTCCCCACCCCTCCCTCCACCCCCTCCAAGCCCACCTCCCTCCCTTGCTTCCACACTTCCCCTCGGTTTTGTCCGTGTGTCCTTTATAGTGTTCTGAAAACCCTTCTCCCCACTGTCCCTTCCCCCACTCCGCTCTGGCTATTTATTGTTAGATTGTTCTAATTTTCAATGACTCTGGTTATATTTTGTTTGCTTTTTCTTTTGTTGATTATGTTCCAGTTAAAGGTAAGATCATATGCTATTTGTCCCTCACCGCCTAGCTTATTTCACTTAGCATAATGCTCCCCAGTTTCATCAATGTTGCCACAAAGGGTATAAGCTCCTTTCTCTCTGATTTCAAATCAGTTTGTCTTCTTTATACTTTATCAATTTTTCAAATCTGTCCACATTTCATTTGTTTATATTTATATCATATATCAACCTCTTTCTCTCCCTCCCTCACTGCCTCTCTTCCTCTTCTGCTTATTGTCTGTCCCTCTTTCTTCTCCTTTTCTTTTTTTTTACAGTAGTTGAGCCATTCAAGATATTTTCAGACATCAAGATATGTAG